CTTGATTATACTGGCCTCAGAGTCAGAGTAGGCCTTAAACACTGTACAAAATGTAACTAGAATATTCTGCAATATTCTAGTACTAAACCATGTAAGTATGAGTAATCAAGAGAATGTTCTAGTACTTACTTGAACTCACCAGATCGTACTCTTCCAATTATGTTGATAAAGCACAAAATACAACAAAGTGTTAGATGGTAATTAGTATAGGGGTTGTCCCCCATCTGATTACTGTTCTCAGCCAAAAGCGATATCTTCACTACCTTTAAGTTGTGAGTACAGAGTTGGATATGCTACTAATATGTAAACATCATGTGTAGCTTAGTGGTTAGCATGGAATTTAGAAGGATGATGAAGCGTGGAAGCGTTTTGTTGTACGAATAGGCGCCGCACAGTCCAGACCGGCACCGACGACTCCCTTTTTAGGAATACTGCCCGCTCGTACTTTTCATCTCCCTAGACGGTGTGATATTATCTTACTTTTGTGGTTGTGTGGATACAATGGAAGTACTTATTTATTTTTACTGCAGTTACTCGTAGCTTTAACTTTGGTCTAAGTAGATGATTACGAGACTTTCGTAGTTACATCTCTAGGTATTAAAATACGACGTAGCGTAGATTTTCGACTTGGGATTCTCTTCACTCGTTCACATGCGAGCCTCTATCATGATGTATGACTGGGAAGTGGGAATGCAAAGGCTAGTTTCGGCAACGTCAAATGGCGAGTCTGGATGCAAGCGGGAATTATAATCCCAGATACGAACCCCATACTAGCCTGAGACCGTCTCGATTTTTCCCTGCCATGCGTTGCGGTTGAATGTTTAAAGATTGTTTGGACCCTTGCCCCGACTGTTCGGAGGGCAGGGTCACCATCTCTTCACAGCCTCCAAAGATGAAAAAACATACAAAGGAGGCCGACGAGGTTAAGTTACGCTCGTCGCCTGGCTCGTCCCGCCCAAAATCTAATCCTCCAGAGCTGGTCTCTGGTCATCCAATCACTCTCCGATTTTTTAAAACCGTAACCTTCAATGATTTTCCTACGCTTCTTCGCCTTCTTTTCACTCGTAGGCTCGGTTGCGTTGACAATTGCATCTCCAATCGTTTCGAATTCGAATACGACACTTCAAACTCGCAATAACGATGGATTCCGTCTCGTAGGATACACTTGGTTTGATAAAGTCAGTTTCCAATTACCTTTGATAACGTTAGAGAGGCTGAAGTTCAAGTTCATCCGATGGCTTTTTTTTTGTTTTCGTTCTGTAGGCTATGGTGGTCTACCTAGGATATGACGATGGGTTCAAAGATGCCCATCAGCCACCTGGGAAATTGAGAAAGGCATTCTGGCTTGTCTCGCGGCAACCTAGGATGTATGAAAGGTTCAAAGCCCAGCTTGGTGCGAGGTGAGTTTGATACTTGGACCAATGTATGTATGTCTTCTCAACGACTTGTACACAGAGAGACACGAGAGGCGAGATATCGCGATATCTGAGTTTGATGCGTGCTCTGAAACTTTTCTCCTCTAGTGTGCGCTCCGTTGTCCTGTATCCAAACCATCCACGGACGACATGGTACGTTCCTTCTCGATTCCAGGAAACCGCGCAACTCATCCTCGACCCTCTTAGATCTTCCTTCCCTCTTCACTTTTAACCAACGGACTACAACATATCCAGACGCAAAAGAACGTCGATGAATATATCATCAAGCATAAAGGCCTAAAAGGATCGCAAAAAGTCATCGAGGAGCAGATGCAAGCCATGCTGACCTTTTTCCATTTCAACGGTGGTGACGCTGTTAGTGTTTCTGATGTTGCATTTGAGAAGAATTCGATCCAGATGTATTGTCCCGGTGAGCGCTAGCAACGAATCCATGCCCCAGTTACTTTACTCAGTATAATATACACATTTTGTGACGTTTTATGTTTTTCCAGAAAATCCCAACACATTGACGGAAGAAGCGGGTTGGAAGGAGTGGGTGCCGGGCTTCCAATGATGCGCGCTCTGTGGAATATACATAATCTGCCAAGAAGAAGGGATTCCATTAATTTACGTATGTCTAATGATAAACTGTTGCGCCCCAAATATGTAGAATTTGAAAGAAGACCGAGGGACAACAGGAGAGACGATCTCGTGCCGAGCCCGTTCGCGTCGCTCGCGATGGAATCAGGGGTATCACGGGGAATAACCGCCGACTGTGATTGGCTGCAAGTCACAGCGCTTCCCCACAATCACAAATGCGGGGGGCTAGTTCGAGCCATATAAACTCAGTTTTACCCTGGAACTACGACCAAAAGCCTCCAGGTAGTGACTCTCTCTCAATTTCTACCATACTACAGTGATAATTGGTCCCCTTGACCATGTCATACCTATCCTCCCTCGTCTCTTTAATCATTCGGAACCCGCTCACAACAGCTGGGGTCTCACTTCTCTCCTTCCTCTTCATCCACATCCTCCTCCCCTATATCCTCGACCCCCACTCCCTCCGCAAACTCTCCATCCCAGGTCCCCGTGTCGCCGCCCTATCCGATCTCTGGCTAGGCTACCACTCCGCCAACGGCCACCGTTCCGAAGCCGTCCACGCTCTCCACGAGCGGTACGGCCGCATCGTCCGAATTGCCCCCAACCACGTCTCCATCGCCTCCCCAGACGCCCTACAAACCATCTACGCCCACGGCAACGGAGCTCTCAAATCCAACTTTTACGACGCCTTCGTCTCCATCCAACGCGGCCTCTTTAACACCCGAGACCGGGTCGAGCATACCCGAAAGCGGAAACTCGTCTCGCACATCTTTGCGCAGAAGAGCGTACTAGAGTTTGAGCCGCACATTCGGCTCTATGTCGGTCAGCTGCTCGGGCAGTGGTCGAGGTTGTTTGACTTGGCGCTGAAAGGGGACAAGGGCGATGAGGGGCAGGGACAGGGCGGAGGTTGGTCTGGACACGATGGGCGTTTGTGGATGGATATGCTGCCCTGGTGCAATTACCTCGCGTTCGATATTATTGGAGATTTGGCTTTTGGTGCGCCGTTTGGAATGATCAAAGCTGCGAAGGATACGGCTCCCATTCCTGCCGAAGGACCTTCAGCTGACTTGACGGATGCGAAGACTCAAGTTCAGATCCGGGAAATACCCGCTGTGAAGATCCTTAACGGTAGAGGAGAATATTCCATGTCTATGGGCGTCCTCCCTCCCTCTTACCGACCGTTCGCGAAACGTCTACCGTGGTTCGCAGCGGGTGCAGCGGACGTCAAGGCCTTGGCTGGAATCGCTATCATGGCTGTGCGAAAGCGTTTGGTGGCGCAGGAGGCCGGGACTTTGGAGGTGCGGAAGACGGATTTGCTGGAAAAGTTGCAGCGGGGTAAGGACGATAATGGGAATCCTATGGGCAAGGAGGAGTTGACTGCGGAGGCTTTGACACTGCTCATTGCCGGTTCCGACACAACGTCCAATTCAACTTGCGCTATTCTGTATCATCTCGCGAGGACGCCGGACGCGCAGAGGAAGCTTCATGAAGAGCTTGATAAGGCTATTCCGGACGTGGAGGCGTTGCCGGTGACTGTGGACGATGTCAAGGCTGATCGACTACCGTACTTGGACGCTTGTATCAACGAAGGTTTACGGATCCATTCGACCTCTGCTCTTGGCTTGCCGCGGCTTGTACCAAAGGGAGGTTTAACGGTGGAAGGGATCACGTTCCCTGAAGGAACTGTCCTTTCCGTTCCCTCTTACACTATTCACCGTGATGTCGACGTTTGGGGTTCCGATATCGAAGACTTTCGTCCTGAGCGATGGCTTGGGTTGGATCAGGATAGGAAGGAGTTGGTTAACAAGACGTTTAATCCTTTCTCGGTTGGACCGAGGGCGTGTGTTGGGAGGAATTTGGCTTATCTGGAGTTGCAGATTATTATTGGGAGTCTGGCGAGGAGGTGGGACTTTGTTTTGGAAGAGGGATTGACGCAGGAGGTGGGTTTTACTTTTCCTCCTCGGTGGCTTTGAGCTGACACTTGAGTTTTTCGTGTTTGTAGATGCACACTTCGGAAGGGTTCCTTCGCAAGCCTTTGGGTTGTAGGGTTGGTATAAAGAGGCGAGATTAAGGGCTGATGTCGTTTCCGCGGCCTCATTACAGCGTGGACGATCTTTAAATATGTAATTTTAGATGTGTCCCACAGAACTATTTCCCTTTCTATTTACATTAAGTGTACCTCTGGATATCTTTGTACTAGTATCTGTTGTTCAAATTGTGAAACTAGCTGAACAGAGGTACCATAGCTTTTGCGCAAGTTTGTATCAAGATGACCGGCACGGGAATCGTACAAGAGTTGGCTGCGATCGACCGCCCAGTAAACACCCAACGTGTCAGTGTGCCTCAATCTCTGCCTTTCCCTTCGTAGTCCACCACTTCATCTCGTCATTCAAATGTTGATCCATTGCCACGAGTTCCTTCATCTTCCTCCTCGTCTCCTTCCTCTGCACAATCGCATCGTACCCTTCAAACCGCGGATCCGTCTCATCCGTCATCGCACACGCCGCAGGCATCTGCTTAAACGCCAACAAATTCTCCAACTCCTTCCTCTTCTCCTCCCACTTCTCAATCTCCTCCACCATCCTATCCCCCCTCCGAATGACCTGCTCTAAAACCTCGTACCGCCTCGCGGCCTCTGTGCTCTTCGCTTCGAGCTGGTCGAGTTGGTCGAGGGAGCGGGAGATTTTGTGCTCGAGGTAGAGGTAGTGGAGGTCTTGGTAGAAAGAGTAGAGGGACATGCCGAAGCCGTAGATGAAAGTTAGGGTGCCTAGGCTGAGGAGGAGGGTGGAGCTGGAGCGACTGAGGATGGCATTGGGGAGGAAACGGGTCCAGATGGTTAGGAGGGGTTTGGAGAGGGTGAGCAGGGCATTGCTTTTCATGAGACGGTAGGGTTGGGTGAGCGAAATACGGATGCTGAGCGAGCGCCTATAGCTGTATAGCTTTGAAGGTTAACATATATTTACAGAGCCCACCGAAAACATTTGTACACCGTTGGTGAAGTGGTTATCATGCTTGCCTTCCATGAAGAACAAGTGTTCTAGATTCATGTGATTAGCAAGCGGCTCGGGTTCGATTCCCGAACGGTGTATGCTACGACATGCTGTAGTATTTTTTGGTGCTGCCCAATCCCAGTCCTGCTCCCCTGCATTTACCATGCTTACCGTTAATCACTAACTCTACTATTCCGAATGATGGGCATGCATACAGAGTGTCTAGTACATCTCATTTTTCGTGCTCAGATTGAGGATAAAGATTAACGAATACGTGCAATACGAATAGAGCCTTTGCGGAGAGAACTTAAAGTATCCTTTGTTGGCACTTCAACTCGTATCCTCAAACACCAGTCTTTCTACTCTATTCTGCTCCATTATCCTCCGTATCCCAGAGCCAACTCGAGCTATGTTACTCAGCTCCGATGTCCTCCCCGTACAGTACCTCGCGCATATAACCCTTTCATCTTGTTTAATCCATCGAAGCATCCTTAAATAGAGGGATTTCGCACGGGAACCACTGCTCCCTTCTCATCAATCGGAGCGACTGAGATTGGGGGAGTCCAGATTGTTGGCGCGAGTTTCGAGAATGTGAGGAGGGTATGGTCTTTCATGAGACGTACGTTAGGACGTGAGTCGATGGATCTACGCTGATTGCAAGGTGAGTACAAAGCAAAGAAGAAATTTCTTGTATACCGCTGGTGAAGTGGTTTTCATGCTTGCACCACAGGCGTAGATTTCTGGCTCACCACAGGCTCGACTATATGTCGTTCTGAAAGTGATGAAGACCTTTTTGGTTGTTTGCCCCGAGTCCTTTGAATCTCTGACCTGTCTGTTGCTTGTACCCAGACATACTGCGATGTGTGGGTGTGCACATTTCACGTTCCGCTCTTTTGCAACCAGATGAGGATAAAGATTAAGGATAGCTGTGTACGTCTCCTCATAAATACCGAATGTGCAATGCGAATAAGTAATAAGTATATGCAAAAAGAATATCCTCTCAACTACTCTATCTACCCCTTCCTCCTCCGTATCCCAGCCAACAACTCAAGCCATGTTGATCAATTTTGATGGATGCCCTAAGGATCTAGCATCTCACGCATACATCACGGTCACCGTCCATCAAAACATCCTGAAAGGATTCCACGCAGGAACCACCGCACCCTTCTCATCAATATCCAACCACCGCTGTTTATCCCTATTCGGATATCCCAACCCGTTAGGCTTGGGTTCCATGTCGCCAAATGCGCGAGCCCAAGTGAAGGGGATGGCGGAGAGGAGACAGATGGATGAGCTATATCCACAGAAGTGAGGAACGTAGTCAGCAAATAACTTCATAATCACTCGGTCAACGTACCCAATCGTACAAACCACCGCCTCGGGTCTCACCACCTCCACCGCAGCCCCTTCTTCCCCTCCTCCCTCTCCCATAACCTCCTCCTTCCCCCTCCCCTTCTCCTTCTCCTCCAAATCCCCATCATTATTAACGTCAACACTCCAAAGCCCACTAATCAGCGCCATATCAACGACCACCCCCCTCGTCAACTTGACCCTCTCCTCCCCATCCTCCAACGCATTGAAATCAGATTGGATGTACCCCCTGCTCGACCGGCTTTGCGACGCGACGAGGGATCGGAGCGTGGGTGAGGTTGATTTGTGTAGGGAGTAGGTTGTTATTTGAATCTGATTTTCGTTTTGGTTTTCCTCTCCTCCGTCTCCGTTAAGCAGATCCTCAAACGACTCGATAGCCACTGGGTCATCTGATGCTAGATACGCTACCATATTAGCCCCTCCAGCCACGTCAGATCCGGATTCAGAAGCGGAGGAGGAGAAGAGCCGATTCTGGATATCTTGTACCGCTTGAACGTAGTTCTCCAAAGGAACATAACCCCATGGTCCTTTTGTGAATGCGGCCTTTTGGTCTCCCCGGCGGAGGTGGACGCCTACGTATGCGTTGTTGGTATTGGTATTGGAGTTGGGGTTGGACTGGATCATAACCTCCCTCAACTCCTTCCTTGCGTCCCTAATCAGCGCAGCGTTCTCTTCGCTTGGTTGGATGGTCTGTGAGAGTGATGTGGAGGCGCGGTTGAAGATGGGTTCGAGGCGGTTGAGGTTGCGCGCATAGCTGTTATATAAAAGTAAGTGTTTTTTTTTGGCGGATGAAAGACTTGAGAATCTTTTTGGGCAACATGGAGTATGGAGGTACTCACGCATCTTCGTAGTAGTCAGAAAAAGCGGGTCCTAGGTGGAATTTCGCGGTATGAGAGTTGACGATCCAGTGTCTTTTTTTGATTTGGAAGAAGGGAAATGTCAGATGTCATACGTCAGATTCTTAGAGGAGGGATGACACTTGCCTGACTTGTCTCGGACACGCTACGAGCTCTTCTGGTGGTGGAGGTAGACATCCCGGTTCAGGTCCCGGTTGAGTTTGTCGGACGTCTTGAAAGTGGTCTGTCCACCTAAAAGAATGGGTCGTCGATACGAGACAAGTGGAGAAGGGAGCGGAATCACGTACTTGCCGCGGTTCCAATAAGTGTCGTCAATGAGGAATGTCCGATTTCTCTAAAGGGGAGAAACTATGAACAAACGAGACAACAAGTACGCGATAGGTTCTTCACCTCTCTAGCCAATGCAGCGACCTGCGCCATCAGAGCCAAATCGCTCGCGAGACCTATCCTCCCGTCGAGCATGTATGTGATTGTGCTGGAGCATGTACCCTCCTTTGGTGGAGGATGAGGGACGTCTTTGACAGGTACACCTGCTTCGCCCCAATAGCTCGTGTGTTTCATTCGACCTGGATTGAGGGTATAGCACTCTGAGACGTATTCGGTTGGACGGAGAGGGAAGGTGGTGTAGTTTTCGTAGGAGATGAGGAGGGATGGGTCGATTTGAGTCTCAGGATTTGAGGATAAAGGAAAGGAGGAATTAGCAGACGCGTCGGTGGTATTGGGTGTAGTAACTCCGACGTAGTATTCTAATGTCCCTGGACTGCGATAGGCCACTAAAATGAGAAAGAAGAATAGACCTGCGACAAAGCATCCCACTACTACAGGTAACCGCTGTATGATCATCTCCCCCGTCAGTCGATTCCATCCCATTGTCCAGTCGAAGTTTGTCTTGTCGTCTTCTGTTCGTCTTGCGCTGGACGGAGAAGCTGAGGGGAGGAGAGGCGAAGAAACGGATTGGTTTTGGGTGTCTTCTTCTTCTTCTTCATCTTCTCTATGGTCTCGGTCTGCGAGTGGGATATCTTCGTAAGCACCGCTGCGGGAATGAGGTGTGCGGGGGGTGAGGGACTGGTAGTCGTATGCGGAGGTGGAGGAGTAAGGTGGGTAAGCGGATACGGATACGGAAGGAGAGGAAGACGAGGACGAGGTGGAAAAGGAAGAATGGTGGGTGTTTGACAATGGCCTTGGACGATTCGATCGTGCCATTGGGTGTGCTGGTTATGATGAGAGGTAAAAATAAAGAGGTAATGTTTGAATTCTATCATTTTGCTGAGAGATGCGAACAATGAGACATAGCAACCCGCGCCCGTAGTGCTCAATTGGTCCTTCATTCAATAATGATATACACTTCTCATTTTTTTATACACCGTTGGTGAAGTGGTTATCATGCTTGCCTTCCATAATGGAGACGTTGTTGATAGCAAGCGGCTCGGGTTCGATTCCCGAACGGTGTATTAATGTCTTTGGATAAACGTTTTATTTTTTTTTCTAGTTTTTTTCTTTTCAGCCTGACAATTGGAAAGCCTGACCATTGGTGACTTGAATTTGGACCGTCTGCAATGATTTTATGGTATGTCCAAGCAAGTGGATCTTTTTCCAAATAAACAACTTGTTCTAGTTACAAGTAATCAGGAGCTGGAACAGTCCCATTGAGAAGGTATCAAAAGGTGGAAAAGTCCAGCGCATACATCAACGTCTCTCAATAATTTTCTCAAGTTGGGTGCAATGGTTCGTTGAGGATTCTACGAAGCGCGCGCCTAAATATTCGTCAGTGATTAGTTCAAAGTCCAACATCGTTTCTTTCCCCCAATCTCTCCTCTTTCTCCCTCTCGCGCTACTCAAAATGCCACCAAAAAAGACGTCCACAACAAAATCTACTCCCTCGGGCGTCACTGCCGTCGATGACAGCAAACTGATGCCCAGCCCAGACAAACGAGAAGGTATGGCTCCTCATTTTCCTGTTGCGCTCCCCACCAATTTTCGACTTTCCTCAGATAACGGCCAGCTTCTGACTCCAAGTAGATCACCTTTTACCCCTACAGTTCCCGTAATCGCCACCTCAAAGAAGAGATCCTTGGGCGAGACTGACAGCGCCACCGACGAACCAAGCACTCATCCGCCACTTATACCTACTAACCCAGAGTCACTGGAACCGTCGAGAAAACGATCTAAAGATGATTTCACTCTCAATCCTCATAAGAGCCACTTTGACGACCCCACAGTGGTTATTATCCAGGTTGAGTCAGACTCGTTCAGGATTTCTCAGAAGCTTTTGAGCGACCAGTCCGACTGGTTCAGAGACCGCTTTGCCAGTCCCAAAGGTCCAGACCTCGATAAGCTCGTAGAGGGATGCAAAGTTTACATCCTCGACACTCCTGTCAAATCCGAGCACTTTTCTACTTTGCTTGATTTCATCAGAGATCCTCTGTAAGTATCGCTTTTTTCGGACCCTCTTCGAAGTTCCTTCATTTCTGACCATACTCCTCTCAGGCTCTATCGAGGGACTAAAGCAAACCACAACGCACTCTGCAGCATTTTTTACGCGTCTTCTATCCTCGTCTTTCCTCGCTACCGAGATTGGGCCATCACTCGGCTCGAGAACCAATATTGGTCTTCTGACATCACCAAAATAAACTCCCAAAGTCTTCGAACTATCACCGACTGCTTCATGATCCTCGACCTATCCAAAACTCTCGACTTCCCCTCGCTCAAGAAACGCGCCCTGTACGACCTCATCCGCGCTAAAGCCCCCTCGAACCCGGTCACCCTCTCCAAGCTCACCACGACCTTTTCCGATGCCGCATTCGTTTCCCACATCCTGCAGGTCGTCTCTATGGCCAGACAGATATTCGCAGAGTCGTGGGCGGATAGAGCGTGTCTTGACATTCCTGGTCTGCCATGTGCGGACTCTGATTCGTGCGTGACCACTCGCAATCTCAAGGACGCGTATATGGATTATATGCATCACCCTAAAGATGGGTTGTACAAGAGGTATTTGTTTGATCCAGTAGCGGGTCTCCAGGCTCTGGTTGATCTTGCTTGGGAGAAGCCTGGAGAGGGTGAGTTTAATCCTACTAGATGCTCGGCCTGTATTGAGCGGATGAAGGACGCGTGGAGGGCGGACAGAGAGGCTCTTTGGAGCTTGATCGATGAGTGGGTGAAGGTCATTTGAGCTGTCGGTGTTCGCATTCGTGCATGTGTCTTTGCTTGCTTTGCCCTGTGTTACATGCTGTGATTGCTTGTTCCCCGATTTGCTCTGAAGGCTTGCTTGAAATTGCTTTGAGATACTGCAGAATGATTTATAGTGCTTATTCCGAGATGTCTCCCTCATACCTTACCTCGGAGACCTTTTTACGAAACCTTACTTGCGAACTTTCCGTGTAATTGTAGCATGTATGTGCTTTTGTATTCTTCTGTTTTGTTTTTTTTTCCCTGTATTGCATCGTCGCAGTATATGATGTCCGGTTCTCCCTGCATAATAGTACATAAAAGTGGTGCTCCTTCTCTGTGCCTTTTTCTTTCAAGTCCTTTCATCTGAGCTTGGTTCTCTCGCCGAACTATTTAGCTATACCTGCTGGTACTCTCCTTTTGTTCTACTCTCAGACTCGAGAAAACTCAGCGGGCTGAACCTTCCTTTCATTCCTCTAGCCATATCTACGCCTCTCTCCTATGGCAAGGAGATACTCCTGCAAATGCTAAACTGCTATCATATCCTGCATATCAAATTGGTGTAACTGTTCGTCAAAAAACAACGCTACGAATACAAGCATTGGCGTTCATGCCTATGGAAGTTCCAATTCAGTTCGTCCACTCGGTTTTGCCTCTATCCAAGTCGTTGTCAGCCCTTGCCGATCGTATTGTCTCTGACTTGGCAAAGCATGGCATTTATAACGGTTCAACCAAACGCTGGAGGTACTTCCCTCAAGACCCCTGCAGTACCACCGGGAACGAAAGAGAGGTATTCGCACCACTTACGGATATATTTGAAGCCATCGTGAACGCGGCAAAGAAATTGGACAAGAACCTCGAGCAGAATTTACATCTCAAGGTTGAAGGCACTCTCACATTGGTAGTGCTGCATTTTCTACGGCAGCCGCCGCGACTTGCAACCAGCTCGAGTCTTCTTCCTATCCCACTCTGTAACTGCCAGCAAGCTCAGAGGATGACAGTGACTGGAAGAGAGGAAGGGGAAGTCGACCCGTCCCTCGCCTGGAGGTTGAAGAACCGAAACAGGTGCAGAAAAACATTACAACTTAGGTTAGCATTTTTAACCTCTTTGTGGCATCTTTCGACTACCTAGCTTTACATAAATGAAACATCCTGAGCACTTGTCCGAGCGGAGTACTTCAGTGTACTCCCCAAATCCGTTCTAGCAACGCTTTTTTCCCGCTCAGATAGCATTGATTGCATGAACAGGATTCTGAGCTCCCGGAGTCAGGTTAATCCGATACCTGAGTCTAACGTCCAAAGCGTCCACTTGAGCCGCTCGAGGGTTAGCCACAGGAGTGACAGCGCCGGTACATCGTGTCCTACATTCGGGCTCCAGACCCGTAACAAGAAATGGAACCCAAGTAGGTGCGGCCGGGAAGAATGTATCCCCCGCTTGGCGTTTTCGGATCACGAGCGGTGGAAAGGTTCGAGGAGAGTTTCCGGCAGCTTGTTGGAGGTGATTCTGGAGGAGGGTCATCATTTGCCGTAGGGCTGTTTCGACTGCGGGGGCTACTGTGTCGGCGTTGACGGTTATGACGATTTGGGGGTGGACTTCGACAGGATGGTCGGGACGAAGACCAGTTTTGACGCGTGCTTCGAGTTGGGTGGTGTTAACCTAGGTCAAGGTCGGTTGAGAAGAGTGTTATGCAGGAAGAAGAATCTTGAAAGTATCGGCTTGTTCTTGAAAGAAAAACGGAATGTTTTACTCACCGCGAGGGGTGATGCAAAGGCGGTAGCGGAAACAAAGGCAGTGATGAGGAATATAGGATTCAAGCGCATGGTGAAAAATCGGAGGGCGGGAAGGAACAAAGGAATGGTGGTGAATGATAGAAAAAGAAAGAAATGCGAGCGAATGAGCTGAAAGCTTCTCTTTGACCAGCGAAGAGGTGCACTAGGCAAAAGCACAGTCTGTCCTAAAGAGATTTTATAGGTTTCTGGGGCCCGAGTCATGGCAAAAAGTTCGGGCACAGAGTTCCTGCAGTCGAGCATCAATCAGTCATCGCTTTCAGGTTCGTGGACCGGCCCTATGAGCGATTTTCAGAGCTCAAGGTCAGATATTCTCCATGAGAGTAAAAAACGACGGCGATTGACTTTTGCGGTTGATACAAGTTGATACAAGGAAAACTGGGATATTTTCTTTGCAGGCTGTTTGTGACAATCGCACTACCTGGCCCTTGATGGCTTGAAGACGAAAAACACATCTGAGGCAATTACTATGTATGGACACGTGCCCGAGTGGAAGTTGTCTTGAAGACGGAAATTTGACGGAATGTTGAAAAAGAAAAGAAGCGTCTACAATCAATTGAAATTTGGGCCGAGAATGTAGAATACAACGCAAATACAACATTAAGGATACAATACGAGATGAACAACAGGCATAAAAAAAAAGGGAAAGTAGGTAAGCCGGCCACACACGTTTTTCATGTCATGCACTAATCTAACCTTGACTCTCAACCACCATCATCATCAGGCCCACAAAATTTTATCTAACGCATTAGCTTCAAACGAGGCTCTTCTTACTCTCATATCCCAGTGATTGTTCCAATGCCGGCGGCTTCGGTGTATGTTTTGGATATCCAAGGCAATCGTTATTCGAATGAAGCGCAACCGTTGGCCATTGACAGCGGATTTCTATCGCAGACTTATACGACCCTTTGCAAAAAGTTCCAGGGAAGCTTTGATATCTATGATGTTACATCGAATGCCGATATCCTGTTAAAACTATCCACCGATGATTCCAGCGACCGGTCGTGGTTTCCCTCTGGTCTCCCACAACCCCTAACGCTGCAGGACAAATACCCAACCTCGCCCACTGTCACGTTCCTAGTCATTCGCTCTCCCCCGCCACTCCGGCTTTTTCTTCCTGAACTTGCCAATCCTGGGAAATTTGTGGACCCTTGGCCTCCAACTGGGTGGAAACCATTCACAGTGGCAACTGTGGTGGCCCACATCCAGAAGCCTACAAAGATAAAGCACAATGTACTCTTGAACAACATTTTTCCTGCATATGAACATGAGGCACCTGTTGAGCTAAGCACAGAAGCGGTAGACGACGAGGGAGAATATTGGGCTGGGTATGGTGACAAATATAAGCACGGCGATACTAACCAAGAGGGCTATGACTACAATGCAATGATGATTGATGAGGATCGTGCTCAGCGCGAGTATGAGAAAAAGGTTTTTGATCTTGTCCACAAGTATCATTCCCATATCCTCTACGCAAAGCGCCGCATCCCAGAATCAG